ACAGAAGCAGCTACAAAGGTAGAAGAATTATCTAGGCTCTGCCCCCTGCTTTCTCCCCTTCCCGGTGTCAACAGGTAGATTTACTGAGCCCTACACAAGTGCATCCATCCCATCACAGGCTCATAGCTGAGACTCAGTTGGATTACCACCCCTGTGGCCCTCTGCTGGGACACAGGCCTGCAGGTATCCATCCCACAGGAGAGCCCTACATCTACAACCACAGGACTCGGAGTGTCCCAGCCCCAAACTTAATTTCAACTATGTTGACATTTTCTTTTTGAAATTGCTAGCCCATGGTTCAGGGTTCAAGATAGCAATGATGGTATCAAACTAAAAAGCTTCTTCACAGCACAGGAAATAACCAAAAATGTGAAGGAAAAAGCCAAAGAATCTGAAAAAAATCTTTGCTACCTGCACCTCAGATAAAGCATTCATCTCCAGGATATATAAAGAGCTCAAAAAACTTAACATCAAATCAAACTAAACCAAACCAAAACAAAAAACAACAAATAATCCCATCATTAATGGGCAAAGGAACCAAACAGGCACAGCACAGAAGAAGAAATACAAGGGGTCAACAAACATAGGGAAAACATTTTCAATATATCTAGCAATTATAGAAATGCAAATTAAAGCTATACTGAGATTCCATCTCCGGTCAGAATAGCAAATATCATGAATACAAGTAACAATAAATTTTGGTAAGGATGTGGGGAAAAACGTACACTCATATATTGCTGCTTATAGTGAAAATGGGTGCAACTACTCTGGAAAGCAGTGCAGAGATTCCTCAGAAAACCTGGAATGGAACCACCATTTGACCCAGTTATCCCACTCCACAGTATATACCCAAAGGACTTAAAATCAGCATACTATAGTGACATGGCTACATCAATGTTTAAAGCAGTTCAATTCACAATAGTTAAGATGTGGAACCAACCTAGGTGCCCTTCAACAGATGAATGGATAAAGAAAATATGGTGTATATATATACACAATGGAATATTACTCAGCCATAAAAAAGAATGGCTTTATGACTTTTGCCAGTAAAACGAATGGGCGGAAGACTCTCATGCTAAGTGAAATAAGCCAGTCGCCAAAACCAAGACCAAATGATCTTTCTGATATGTGGACGCTGACACACAATAAGTGGGGAAAAGAGGAAGAACAGAAGTTCATTGGAGTAGACAATGAGTAATGAAAGGAAGGAAGGGGGGAAAGAAATAAGAAAGACAGTAGAATGAATAAAAATAAGTAAATACATGATAGCAATGATATTTCTTCATTTCTGTAGCATGTGAGGCCTCAGACACCAAGGACTGAACTTCCCAGGAATTTTAAAGGTAATTACATATCTTTAAATAGGAAGATCGCTTTTCACATTTCTAGTAGTATGGAAATACGTTCTCTGTTTTGCATCCATCAGCAGTATGTACACTCCTTGGCAGGGAGGGCTTGCAACTTTTTAAAATGCTGTGTACAATACCTAGCATAGTTGGGAGCTGGAGAAAAATGTTGATACCATAGAAATCTTACAAGGTTGTTCCCTGGCTCGGTTAGTTACTCATAGCCTGGTAAAGGAAAGGGATGCACAGAAGAGGACAAGGGTGAGTGCTACTGCAACAGGAGCCTGATCTGACCAGAGCAAACCTGAGAGGTCTAAGAGCCTCTGGCAAAGGCCCAAGGCAGAGGGGAGAGAGAATGTTGGTGACAGGTCATAGAACAGCCCTCAGCAAGGCAGACCCCATGCCCTCTGGGCACATGGAGACTCTTAGCACGCACAGCCGCAGGACTCTCAATGGTCTCCAACATCTCATTTCAAGAACTGTATCTTTTTCTTTTTAATATTTATTTTTTAGCCAGGTACAATATCTTTATTTTATTTATTTTTATGTGGTGCTGAGGATCGAACCCAGGGCCTCACACATGCTAGGCAAGTGCTCTACCGCTGAGCCACAACCCCAGCCCCAAGAACTAACTGTATCTTGAGCACCTCCTGGCAGTGGCTCCCTAGGGTGGGCTAGGAAAGAGGAGTTTCAAATGGTGACTAGGTTCTCAACCTGCTTTTATGGAACAATTATTAGACACCATTTAATTAGGAGGGGAAGGAGAAGGGACAGGTTATCAGTTTGGATACTGGATAGTCTGTGTGTAATTTCCTGAAGGAAGCAATGGGAGGTCAGGCGAGTACTAAAAATCAGGGCTATCCTTCCAGGGAAAGCATGTGAGGCTGTCCTGTCTGTGGGAGCACATTGTGGGCAAGAGGACAGACGGGACAGAAAGCCAGGGAGGGGCAGGAGCCCAGCCAGCCTCCTGGATTCTCAGGCCAGGGATTGGATTTCCTCACTGTGGGGGACCTGAAGTTGGTCCCTTCCAGATGGGACTGCCAAAGGCTCTCCACAGGGCAGGCTTCCTCCTCCCAGCGAGGAAAGCAGGAGGGGCTGCAGGAGCTGGCAGCGGCCACAGCGTGAGGGAGGACAGGATGGAGAAATCCCCTTTGTGAGTGGATGGACTGCTTCCTGTTTGTGGTCCCTCCCTCCATTGTCCCAAGTGTTTCTCTTAAGTCATGGAGGTGGTGGTGGGTGTGGGGCATCCCCAGGGAGCCTTGGCATTAAAGGACAGGTTTTCAGGCTTGAACTTGCAGTGCTGAGAAGAGGTTGACATGCTCCCTGGCCTAATGGGGCCTTCTCACCTGGTGTTTCCTCTTGCTTTGCTGGGCAGCATCAGAAAGGGGACGGGGGCGAAAGGCAGACCAGAGCTAACCTGCTGTCCACTCCTAAATGTCCTCACGTGGGGCCCCTCCACTATAATATTAAACATTTGAAACTTACTTTAATATCTTGGGAGAAACATGCTTATGTATTAGGTGTAGGAGTGGATTTGGCAGGGAGATGTTTTTGTAACTTCTTTTCAATCCCACGGAATTGATTATAAATGGCAACCTGATGGCAGTAATAGAGATTTATTGCCTGGTGCTTAGATTTCATTCCTGGTGGTTCTGTAATGTCAGCTTCATCTTAGGATGTGGAGCTTTTGGCACAACCTCATGGAGAGCTGCTAGCAGGTGTTGCTTGGTGCCTCCGGAGGTTGCCCGATAGATATGAGGGGCTCAGGCAGATGGACCAGGACACACAGGCTGCAAGTGGGGGGAGGTGGAACAAGCAGCACGCTTACCTCCAGCTTTTTATCTCTTCTTCAGCAAGAAGAGTGGCCCTCAAAGTTTCGACCGGCATCACCAGGCAATTTGTTGGAGAGACACTCAACTCAGTCTTACCCAGACCTGCAGAGGCTCTGGAGGGAAGCCTGGCAGTCTGTTTCCATACCTCCTCTGATGTGGTTCTGATGCTTGCCTAAGAACCCCGGAGCTGGAAGAATCCAGGCTGGATCAGGGCTGGGTTCCCTATGACTAGATAAGGAGGCAGGTGAGCTGACAAACCCAGGTTCTGATCTGAGACTGTGGGTTTTAACAGGGTTAGGAAAACTATTGTATGCTGTGTCTAAAAGACAAAGTGTGGGCTTTGGTTCCACCCTTTGCCTTTCAGCGGGAGCCTGGGTGTGGCTGTAATTCCAGGCAGGGGGCTTAGGTTGAATAGCCTTCTCTCTGATTAAAGAAGACAATGTTCCCTAAGGACCTTCCTTACAAACTTCTAAGTCTCAGAAACAATGACCATTTGACACATCTTTTGCATGAAACCATTCTGAAGGCTCCCAGGGAGGGAAAAGGTTAGTGTGAACCCTGAGATGGTCAGGCAGACACAGATCCAGGTTTTGCAGGGCCTAAAGCTTAAGCAATACTGGTAGCTCTGTTTAGGTAGCTCTGTTTAAGACAATACAGTAGATTTTACTAAACATACTAGCATGTGAACATACCGTCAGGGCCCTGCCTGGGCCTCAACCCGTCCACCCAGAAGCCCTGGGTTTATTGCTCCCGCAGCTGCACAGTAAAGCCGCCTCTCTGTGCAGGAAGGGCGTGCATCCTCTCCCTGGTTCTTCAGTTTTAAACTTTTTCCCAGCTCTGATTGGACAACATCAGTCCAGAACCTAACTGGACAGCTTTTAGCTTCCCTTCCTCTCCCATCTTTTCCTTTTCTAATGTGTTGTTGCAGTCACTATCTATAGTTATAGAATGACCCTGGAAGATGAGGTAGGATGAAAACATCTTGCTTTATTTTCCTGACTCCCCAGATCAATCAGGTTTTAACCATGTGGCCTTGGGAGTAACCTTCATTAGTCACTTCTCTCACATTTCCAAGTAACCACTGCCCTCTTCTCTCTCTGCCCTCCTCTAACTCATCTTCTTCCTGTCCTTTCAGCAGAGGGCACCCTGCTCTTGAAGTCAGCCTGATCTGGGAGTTCAGAGCTCTTCTGTCCCTTCAACATTTAATGGCAAAACAATCAGCCCAAGGCTCCCAGAAAAAGGAGAACCAGGTCTCCTGACCTTTGGAGAGGACAGGTGCTTATCTTTCTGTCACGGCCGGTGGTGGTGGCCAGCTTCTCCTTACCTACCTGAGCTAGAGTAACCTACACCTTTTAAAGACTGGAGGAGGCGCCTTGGGAAGAGAGTGTGTGTCTCAGCACCGTGACCCTGGCCTCCACCTCTCCTCAGTGTGCAATCCTCCCTTGAAGACACAGAGCAAACTTCACTTTCTGTCCTGGCAGTTGATATTCCTGAAGGTCGACTTGACCATCAGGACAGTCAGTATTTTGAAAGGCTCTGGAGATTCTTGAAGAGACCTGAGTGTGACCAGCAGTCTGTCCTACATAGATGTGGATACAGTGGTTCTCCCTCCACCACCTTGGATGCTTTGGGGCATTTTCTTCAGATTCCCATTTGGACCCAACCTTGGTGGGGCACAAAGCCAGCTTCTGTTGAGCATGCCAGGTGGCCTGCTGTGTCATGGCTGATCCCGGGCTTCTCAGAGCCTACCCAAGGGTCGAGACCCATGACAGGGAGGCCTTCTCTCACACTCTCCAGAAGGTTCTTTGCAGGCCAGCCTTACCTGAGGACAGTAGGCTCCCGCTGCTGCCGCTGATAATCTTCCCCTTGCTCCCCATGTTGGCCAACTTTGAGGTCTTCAGAGTCCCAGTCTCGGTCAGGTCAATGGCAATCTCGCTCAGACTTCGTGCCGCATGGATCTTGGACTGGAACAGAAGGATAAGCGGGTCATGGAAGGTCATTCCTCTCAAAGAGGGGACAGAAGTCACTCGCCTACTCGGTGTCCTGAAATTTAGCAAAGTGACTCATCCCAGGATCTGCAGCCTCTTGAGGTTTGGAAGCCTCAGCCCTACCACTAATCACCAACACTGTGTGAAGGAGCAGAGGAGGCTCAGAGCTACACAAATGATGGAATGTCGCAGGCCAGGATCCTGTAGGCTGAACTGAAGTCTGGATGTGGGGAAAATTACTTAATCTCATGAGCCTCATTATTCCCAACTATAAACTACCACACAAGGAGGTGAGGCGACCCTCCCCTCTCCTCCCTTCCCCTCCTCCCCCTTTCTCTCTGCCTGACACAGCAATCAATAAAAAGTGACTATGACTATGTTGAACTTAAACATGGAGGAAAAAATAATTTTCAGCTTTCTAAATGACATGAGACAGACAAATTCAAGAAATACCCATAAATTATGCAATTATGAAGACCTCTTCAATTCTCATCCATGTGACCTTGGAAAGTTTGCCTGAAGATCAGTGCCCTATTCCTGCAACCTCAGCGTGCGTGGGCACTACTCAAAACTTCTGGCACATGCTGGCTTCTATTTTGATACCTACATATAAGTTCCGGAGTCTTCATATTATAGCTCAAACTTCACTCAATCCACCTGTTCATTAGCCCCATTTGGCTAAAGGACACAGTAAGCGAGAGTAATTAGAAAAAGATTCTATATTCACAGTTGCATCCCTAAAAGTGATTGATTTTAGGAAGGCTGTCTGGGCCCAGGGGCCTGCATTTGTCCTGGAAAAGTAGTCTGGGACTCTGAGTCCTTGTCCTTCCTTTGGCCTCAGTGTTTGTCCACACTGGTGAATGACCACAACTTCCGGCCTCGGGCACTTTCCTCCTGTTAGCAAGACAAACGTCTATGAGCCAGAGGAAACTCTTGAGGCTTTTGCTTGTTTTGTTCACCTGGTGTGAACCGGTCTTCCTTTTCTCTCTCCCCACTGGTCCTTCCTCAACTTAGACTTAAGTCTTCTTTCTAACTTAGACTTTTTGCCTTGCATTTAGAACCAGGTCAGCATCCTCAGGTTAGGGTCCCCTTATTCATAAAACAATCCCAGCTGAGAGCCTTCACAGGGTTTTGGCTTGCAGCAGAAAGCAGGAAAGGCCTTGGCCCGGCCTATCAGCGGCACCCATCTGGTAGTGCTTTATCCTCAAGCGAGCATAGCAAGCACAACTCATGACTTCCTTTCTTTCTGCACTACTCTATTATCAAGACCCATGTTTTAATAAAAAGGAGCCCACACTTAACCAGTTGTGTAATAATAACTCAGGATGACATAGACTACTGCCGCCTGGTACTAAAGGCCTGGGGCTTGAAGCCACAGAGAGCAGGGTTAGAATCCCAAAGCTTCCCAGTTAATCTCTAGTGGACCTTGACCCTTGAACTCTCTGACCCTCAGATTCTTGTTTGTAACATGGAAATCGGAGAGTCCACATCACAGAGGTGGGATGAGGGCTAAGTTAGATAATCTATGTCAAGGCCACTGCAATAGGAAAAGGATATAAATTAAGGCCTGGAAATAATTTCCTAAATGAGGTTAGACTGATGGTTCCACCTGGCATTTTAGGGATCTCAATAATCACATGTAAAACCTGTCTTCTACTCAGGCCCTCCGCTCCTGCCACACATCAGTCTGGAAAACAAAAATATGGAAAGGGAATAACAGCTGTCCTTTATAAGGGAGACCAGATTCTTAGAAGCTTTAGAAACTTTCTGGAATGGAGATATCACAATGACCCAACAGTCTTAGTGAGAGAGAGAACTAAGAGGAAATGAGCACTGTTGGGGACATCTTCTCCTTGCCGAGGCAAGTCCCTGTGCCAACCTGGAAGAGTCTCTATGTGAAAATCTTGCCCTATAAACATTATTCAGTTTAAAGGAGGATTTTCTGTGAGCAAGATTTAATTTTTCCTACCATGTTGTCTCTCTGCTTTTGATTCCAGATGAAATAAAGAAAGCAAACTGGACTTTAAAAAGGAAAAAAAAAAAAGAGTAAGGAGGAAAGACATTTGCATTGGGGGTCAATTCCAGAAGACCTGGCTCTAAATTCAGAGGAAAAAGTGTCTGATGTTTCATCTAAACAATTTGATGAAATTGTTTCAAATATTTTCAAATATTTTCCTCCCAAGTCCACAAGACATTCCTTGGCTCCAGGCTGCCGAGGTTGTTGGGATCTCACTGACAACATTTCTGATCTTTGGGGTCAGCATATAGAAGTTACCAGTTGTAATTAGTGACTGCCTAGCTTCTCATACTGAATGGACTACGGAAAACCAACTAGTACAGCCTCCCTCCACCCTAACTTAGAAGGTGCAAGGGTCTCTTTATGCACATGTGTGGAGGGGAGCTGACAGGGGGTGCAGAGGGAAAGAAAGAGGAGGGGAGGGAGGGAGAGAGAGAGAGACAGACAGAAGACACTCATGACGCCCCTTAAAGAAGGAAATACCCGAGTGTGAGGAAAGAACATGAGAATCTTGGCCACCCCCCCCTTGCTGACTCAAACCACTAGACCACACTTGTCTCTCTGGAGTTGATAAACATCACTGGGGAGGCCTGGGCTCTGCTGAAGCACTTCAGAGAAAGGAATGGTTGGCACGGCCCTATACAGTAGAGTGGGAAGCCCTGCCAGCTGCCAGCCCACACAGGCTGGCCAGAAATATTTGAAGCTTTTCATTGGAAGGCCTGTCGGCCATCACTCACTCAGAACTTATGCTGCCCACCAGAGACGGATCTGTTCTATAAAGAATGACCTTCCAGAAATGAAAGGTGCTGTAATTCCTATGGGGACTTTCATCACCTCTGATTTAACTTGGGGACCTTTTAGAGAATTTAAACTTGACACACGCATCGGCCAGGAGAATAGTATGTTAGCTTAATAATGATGTTAACAAGAGACAGCACATACTTCCTGAAGCCATTTCACCAACATTGTGTCATTTGACCAATTACTAATTTAGGTCAGGAATTTCCTTTTCTGTTCTCTAATTGGGGAGAGCAAAGCGCATGTGATGAAAGACCAGTCCAAGGTCACGGTTCTGAAAAACAGAGTTCTCCCACTTCCAAATAGGGGAACTTTCCCTCACCTGTTTCTGGGGTTTGAGGAGTTTGTCCCTAAGGGGAAGTGAAAGGGCTTTGGGACATTTGTGAGTATGTGAGGTTTTCTGGGACAAAATTCTACTCCTCCCGGGAGTGTGGGCTTTTTCTTCGGTCCCTCGGGGTTACTGAGAAGGTCAGCCAAGTTCTTCCTAATGCTGTGGGCATTTGGTTTTGCCTCTTAAAAGATGCCCTTGTTAGTCAGTGATCTGTGACCATTCTTTCCTGAGGCTCACTCTCTGCATCATGGCTGGCCTGAAACCTGCCGAGCAGCCTTCCCATGTGCAGGGCAGGACCACCTTTGAGAACAGTCACACTGAGACCACCTGCTGAAGCCATCCAGGAGACTCTATACAAAAAAGAGGACAGAGAGGGGACCTCAAACAGCCATGTTGCACAATCCATTGGGTGAAATGTGCTATTTCTTTTTCCCTTTCAAAACTCTAGTACCAGTGTGCGGGTGGTCTGCCCTCGAAAGAAACTGGCAGTGAGGTCCAGGAGACTTGCCCAACCCTCTACTCCTCATCATCCCATGACTGAACAGTACCCATGTTTGAAGGTGTTGCAAGGTGTTGACCTCCAACTTTTGCTACCGGAGAGCAAATCATTGGCATCCGCTGGCCGTGTCAATGTGCAGCATGAGTCAAAACCTTTTGGCCCTGTTTCTTTTGATCTAAGTGAGCTTCAAATTCCTGTGTCAAGACCTGTCAACACCTGGAGAGCTCTGGAAGGCTCATGACTCCTCACTACAAAAATGCTCCTCCCTTGACTCAGTCACCCCAGAAAGTGATCCAAAAATAAAGACAAGGAGGAAGATTTAGAAAAGGGAACAGTGGTTTACAAAGGAGAAAGTGAAGCTGGACATAGTGGCACATGCCTGCAATCCCAGCGACTTGGGAGGCTGAGGCAGGAGGATCTGAACAAGTTCAAGGACAGCCTCAGAAACTCAGAGAGACTCT